GGGCCAGATGTGGAAGCTAATCGGGCAGAGCCTGACTACAGGAAAGCTTAGCTAGAGCAAGAATCTAAGTCGATGCTATGCTTGTTGTTAGAAAAGCAAGAGGGCTGGCTGTAGTTGGTGCTCTCAAATTGCTAGCAGAGAGCAGAGCAAGGACAAAGTGTATTCGTAGGCGTGTATATCAAAAGTCCGTGGAAGAGGTAAAAAAAAGTACGGTTTCTGCATCGGGTTCGTTGCTCTGCTTGCCGGGGCCAAGAGGGTCATATTCCTTAATGTCCATGATCTTTTCCAACATAGCTACAACTGTCTCTCTATTGATAGGCCCCCTGTCTGTCTCAGCCGACACTGCTCCTTTTTGCGCTTGTTTCCGCCGCTCGTCAACCAAATCCCTGAATTCTTTCTCGAGTAATTCCTTCTCATGATTTCTCTCCATTTCAGCCCGCTCCTTAGCTTCCCCGTTAGAAGTGCGACGAGAGGCTGCACCCACGACCACGTGGTGAGCAACGACCCCCGCGAGTGTTTTCTTCTCATCCGCCAGTCTAGCGCGCTCACGCTCCAACTCAGCTTCCATTTCTGACAGCTGTTGCTCCAAACGAGACTCTTCTTCGCTCAGACCGTGAACTTCTTCCTGTTTCGCCAAAAGCTCAGCTCCTATCTTTTTCAGCTTTTTCTCCTGTTCAGAAGCAAGCTCCGCGAGTGCTTTGTTCGACTCAGACAGTTCATGCGCATGCTCCTTTCCAGCCTTCTTGTGATTAGTAACAAGCCCAGTGATCTTCTCGCGCAACTCCTCTATGAGCTTCCTCCCGTCCAACTGAGACTTGTGGTCCGTCGTGTCTTTCAACGGCTCACTCCTCTTCGGCCCCTCTGGCGCCAACGAGTGGGCGCCCTCCAAATTATTAGAGGTAGGCTTTTAGTGCTCGCTTACCCCGCTTGTTATGCCTTTCTCCCTTAGGAGAGGCATAAAAAGCGGCAAGAAAAGCACCTTTAGCCTACTCTTAAAATTAGACTCCTCACCGGCCTGCTCACTAGTGGCTCCCATTTCAGAAGCATAGCGAGTGATTTCCGCTTTTATTTCAGAAGCAAGCTCCGCGAGTGCTTCCTTCGACTCAGCCAGTTCGTGCTCCTTTGCAGCAAGATTTCTCTCCATTTCTGCCCGCTCCATAGCTTCCCCCGCGAGTGTTTTCTTCTCATCCGCCAGTCTAGCGCGCTCACGCTCCAACTCAGCTTTTTGCTCTACTAGAGCTTCCATTTCTGACAGCCGTTGCTCCAAACCGTGAACTTTTTTCTGTTCCGCCAAAAGCTCAGTCACCAATTTCTCCTTTTCAGCCAGCCCACCACGATAGAGAAACTGCGAAAAAGACATCGCCACTTCGTCCCATCCTTCCCTCGCTGCTACTAGTCCTTCCGTCAATTGCGTCTTCTCCTTCTCCAGAGCAGCAGCCTTCTTCTCCAACTTATGCATTAGTGACCCCCCCACATTCTCCGTTTCTGCCAGGTGGTTTTGCAACTCACGCTTTTCTGCGCTCTTAGCCCCAGAAAGCTCCATCCTGTATGTGCGTGCCTCCGTCAGTTCTTCCGTCATCTTCTCCAAGGCGTTCTCCATCTCAGCCAGGGCCTTATTGTTCTTTGTAGCGAGTTCACTCCTGAGACCCTCAAGCCTACGCTGCAACGCCTCGTTTTCTTGAACAAGTTTAGCATTCTGCTCGCCAGTAAGCTTCGCGGTGTTTCTCAGCTCTACAAGCTCCTCACCTGTCTCACGCTGAACGATAGCTAGATCAGCCTTCAGACCTGTCTCCCTTGCCTCCAGGTCTCTTACCTTACGCTGCAACGCCTCGTCTGGAGAAGTTTTCTTTGCCAGCTCTTGTTGCAGCTGCGTCTTATCTGCCTCTAACTGTGCGATTTCTCCACGCAGAATCTCGTCCGAAGCGTGGGTATTTAAGTCCCCCAATCGCTGGTTTGTTGCAGCCAACTGCGCCTGCATCTCACCCAGCTGCTTTTCCTTCTCGGCCAGCTGCTGGCCCTTCTCCGCATCGGTGTGTTTAGAAGCAACATGGTCGGCTGCAGTCTTGACTGCGTTATGCACAACGACTTGCGCAATCGCTTTCCTCTCTTTATTTAGTTCTCGAGCAAGTTGTTTTGCCTGCTCCTCCAGTTTTGCCTTCTCATCCTCAAGAAGCTTTCGAGCCCCTTCCGCTTGTGCATCTTTCTCAGCCTGTAAGCGAGTAAGCTGAGCGCGAAAGCCCTCCGCCTGTGCATCTTTCTCAGCCTGTAAGCGAGTCAGCTGAGCGCGAAAGTCCTCCGCTTGTGCATCTCTCTCAGCCTGTAAGCGAGTCAGCTGAGCGCGAAAGTCCTCCGCTTGTACATCTTTCTCAGCCTGTAAGCAAGGAAGCTCAGCCTCGGCCCTTATAGACTCGGTGTCACTTTCGCTGTCCTGACTATCCCCTTCAGACCCGGTCCCAGGACTGGAAAATCCACCTTCCGACAAATCTTCTGATGTCTGAGTCTCTTTATTTTTACAGAATACTCCTACAGCAGGAGCAGGAGATCCCGAGGCATAGGAGACATTTATACCAACGGGATCTGTTTGCATGCCAGCGTCTTGAGGATCGCTAGACGATGTTTGTGTGCCTTTATCGAGCGTCGAACATGCCAGCAACGGCTCCGTTTGAATAGCGATATCAGCGCCAACGGGAGTTGGAGTCGCGATCTGACCAGAGGAAGCAGGAGTCTGTGTCGCAACATCTACTTTAGAGAAGGCAGCAGCTCCATCTTCAAACTCAGCACTTTCTTCCGAATAATTCACGACCTCCGCGTTCTGCCATCCGTCCACCTTCTTCCACCTTGAAGTTGAGCCAAAAAAAATGCTACCTTTGAATAAACGACCTTTCTCTCCTGGCGCCCAATAAGCAGAAGCAACGCCACCGCTTGTATCTTTGGGTAGCCCCTGTACAGTAGCAGCAGCCTCGACAGTAGCAGCAGCTTCTGACGCACCTCCACGGACACTGTTCTTCTTTGCAGACGAACGAGTAGTAGAGGTCGTAAAATACAAAGTAGTCGTGACAATGCTCAGCGACACAGCTGCGACCACAGCCCCGATGGCCAGAATTATGGCGCCTTTGGAGGTCGTGGTAGCTGCCCTTGCGGCTGTTCCTGTTGTGGCCGCTCCCGTCTCCGTTGCCTCCGTCGTAGGAGTAGGGCACATGATCGTTGCCACATGATCGTTGCCTCCTGCCATGAGCAAAGTACTTTCGTCTTCAACATGCGACATCCTTATTTACCTTCTATTCTATTGAGTCGTGCCTTCTATTTCTTATAGGAAATTCTTTAGAAGAAGTAGTAGCTGTTCATGAGAGTGAGATTACTTGTAATGTTACTTCTTCCCAGGGTGACGAGATTATACATAGGTCGTTACTTCGCAATTACATACTTACCAATAATTCACAATGTTGCATAAGATGGATTTATTCATTCCTTCGATCGAGATCGTGTATAAAAATACTTAGTAGACCTCCTCCTAACTCGACGGTAATCATGAAAGGTGAAAAGTAAATCTCAGCTACAACGTTGTAGGTGGATTTACCATTCGATAGGTAAAGGGGGAAGGTGGGTTTTTAATCGGTGTTGACGATCAGATAGGTCTTTTTCAAGATTGCTTGATAGAAACCAATTCGACATTAGTAGTTCTCTTACCAAAATGTCCACTCCCAAACGCTGGAGGAAGGATATCAAGAAAAAGGGTGGAAGTACGTAGGTCTAACCTATGCGTGTAAGCATCAGGACGGACGAGGCTAATATGACCAGGATCGTGCCAGCCGTTGCGACTAGTCGTTTCACTTCAAGGCAGAAGATTCTCTCACCTGTTCAACAAGGACCTCTTGATATCAACCGAAAACTTTGAACGGTCGTGACACAGAATCTTCCAAGAGAAGGAACGATCTTATCAAAATCAAAATGAATCCTTTGATCCAATGATCTCCCGATCCATCCCGCAATTTAGTTTGATCTCAGAGATGATCTTGATAGTACTAGAAGCATAAGATCCCGAGTTCTTGATGATCTCCTAGTTGTGCTAGCTTTATAGTACTAGCATAAGATCCCGAGTACTTGATGCTCTTCTAGCTGGTGATTGAGTAATTTTTTGACAGGATCCAACATCTTGATTTCTATGCAAATCCGTTGATCTCCTTGTGATCCATTACTTCTATGCGAGACCCAACAGGAACTTCATCAGACCTACTTCCTACAACTCACCGAAGTCGTACACCATCTGCTACAGTATCAAACGATCCAAGAACATTTTAGTATTCAGATCTCCACAACTGCCAACTCATGTGAAGTTCAGTACCAAATTTTGAAGATTTGCCATAACTTCCTCCTGCATATGGGAAAATTATGGGACGTCAATTTTCTCTCCAGGGTCTCTCAGATGTAGTGCTCAGAATGAGCCAAGCACACCGATTTTTCAAATTTCACATACTCTCCACCTTCATATGGGACGTCAATTTTCTCTCCAGGATGCTCTCAGATGTAGTGCTCAGAATGACCCAAGCACACCGATTTTTCAAATTTCACATACTCTCCACCTTCATATGCGACGTCAATTTTCTCTCCAGGATACTCTCAGATCCAGCGTGTTCTCCGTACTCTCCCCTTCCATATGCGACGTCAATTTTCTCTCCAGGATACTCTCAGATGTAGTGCTCAGAATGAGCCAGGCATACCGATTTTTCAAATTTTCGATATATGGGACGTCAATTTTCTCTCCAGGATACTCTCAGATGTAGTGCTTTCGTCCTGCATATGGGACGTGAATTTTCTCTCCCGAGTCTCTCAATGTAGTGCTCAGAATGGGCCAGGCATACCGATTATTCAAATTTTGCATACTCTCACCCTGCATATGGGACGTCAGTTTTCTCTCCAGCGTGCTCTCAGATATAGTGCTCTTTTCTTTCCAACGCTTATAATTACAACGCTTCCAACGCTTATAATTACAACGCCTGAATATATAATGGTAGAGCCGAACGGCGTTTCGACACGACTAGAGAAGGAGTCTGCGCAGATGGATTGTTTCCTACACTTCTGACTTCAGGACAAAGGAGATGGAGACATTCCTTCCTCATTGGTGCATTTTGTTTCAGATAAGGGACCTGAAGATGGCCATCAGCAGTTACACGCTTATACATAGTTGGAGACATCAGGAGAGAAAAGCGTTTACTTAGAAGGTGTGCGTGTGCAAAGACGGCGTCAAATTTACTAAGCGGCAATGTCTACCCCGCCAACAACATTCTTTAGTTCCTACTATTTTCTGACCCCACTTTTCTTTGACCCAGCATTCTTCGTCTTTCCTCCTTTCTTCATATTTCCAGCTGCACGATAATCCAAAGCGGAAGTTTTACCGTTAGCCGCACCTTGTTGTTCATCTCCTTTCATCTTATTTGAGGAGGACAGTAGGAAATTTTCTTCCAAGGCATCCCCAGTACTCGTGGTTTTACTCATCAAAAGCGCTAAATTAGAGCTCGCCCTAATCCATGCTGAGATCCACCTGCGACCTCTTTAGTTCCCCTTATGGGAGGACGGCCGCGAGATGCTTCTGGAGATGGATTAGGGGGAGCCTTAACTAAAGCTGCGGCGTCCATTTCAGCCGTAGGCTTTTCTACTCCACCACCTCCAAATTTGTTTTTCTTGCCACCCTCCTGATGCTGCTCCACCTCTGTTCTGGTAGTGCCGCCAAACCTGTGCGTGTAATCCGCCACGGTCCCGCCAACCTCCTTGGATCGGTCAAAAGTTAGAAACCACAACAAAAAATCTTCCACAAATTGGAAATCTTGTTCCACAAATCATCTAGTAGACTATTTTTACAACACACGTGTTACTGTCTCTGTCGTACAACAGACTCAATTTAGTCCATAATTCACACAAACAAGCTTTCTTCCACCTCCATCTAAGGCTGTTCTTCCCGAACCAACACAAGTGAAGTGTAGAGTATCTTCAAACCAGGCTAACTATGATTCAAAAATGAGACTAACTATTATGATTCTAGTATCTATTCATTTCAAAAATACTAACAATCTTTTATGATTCTAGTATCTATTCAACATTGGCCATAAGTAAAGAGTGGAATAATCCAGGTCTGGCGCGCGAAAAACTTTTTCCTCATCCATTGAGCCATCGTCTCTGATAACGTCATCTAATTTCGACAGTCCAAACTGTCTTAGTTGCTTCAGCAACTCCCGAGCACCAGCAGGAGGAAGGGGAACGAACCTGTGAAAATGGTCGCAAAACGTGGGAAAAACTGTTAGGAAGTAGAAAAGTATTTTGTCGTAGAAAAGTATACTTTCGCGGGAGCAGAAGGTCATGATCCGAAAGGCACTCAGCAACAAAGAAGAAGAAAAACTCTACTCGCCCTAGTCCCGAAAAAATCATTCAAGTAGTAAAACTCAAACTACGAAAAAACAACTAGTACGTTTTCTGTGTGTTTTTGAAGTCTCCTGGCACATCTGGGTGTTTACAGACGCAGCATTTCCCCCTTTCGAAGTCTTTAGGGCCAATCTCGACTCTCCATTTTACACCCTTATGTTCCCAAAACGCAAATTTTTGGCCTGGTGTATGTTGCCGTCTAGAATCTATCCACGCATCGATCTTTTGCTGCGCTAGACAACTTTTCACGTCTTCCGCGGCATTGAGTAATTGGCCTCGGTCATGCCTACCACGCCAGACAATCGGGATAATGATTACATCGTGCATTTTCGTGGGGAGTGGAGGGTCTTCTTCTTCTTCGTCGTCGTCTTCGGCATTAGTATGGGTCCTCTTGGCTTCAGCATGTTCTTGCATATCAACATCTTTTGTTGAAGAGGTTGAGCAGCAGCTGGCTGATGCAGTCGCTGTCGTGGTCGCAACAGCAGCAGCAGTAGTGGATTCACCTTGTCCATCTTCCGCATGATCATTTTTCTTTGGTGTTGTAGTACTTGAGGTAGAAGCTGTAGCAGCAGATGTCCCTCCAGCAACATTACTCGCTTCGTTTTCGCCGGTCGTCAATTGTCGTTTTAAAAACTCTGCATTTTTCCTCTTTTGGTCACGCCAGTAGTCCCTACGCTCTTCTGCGGAATAGCGTAAATCGGTTTTCAACTTGTATTTCCGTCGCTTAATCTCCTCTGCAGATACACCTTCTTTTTGAAGTTGCAGGACTAGCTTTTGTATCTCTCTTTGTTCCTCACGCCTTTGGGCCTCCGCTGGATCCACCACGTCTTGGTCTACTTCGGCAGTAGTGTTATCTTCGCCGTCTTTTTTAGACTGCTTCTTCTTCATCGGCTTCTTTTTCATTGACTTTTTTACCTCCGTGTTGTTTACGGCGTCGGAAGAGGACGATGAAGGTTTAGGCTTCCTAGAGGTGGCGGAGGATGATCCTGTTGTGGCCCCTGCTTTAGTAGCCTCAGCCTTGTCTTTTTTTGCCATTTTGTTGCTTGTTCTGTGATGCAGCGAAACAACTAACTTGAGGTTCACACTAGAAGCAAGGTGGAGTCGTATCTTTAAGATGTGCCAAAGTTAGAGGTGACAACTGCTCTTCATCTAGACAAGAAAAGATGAAAAAATGCAATCTACTATATGCACTAGTTGAAAGAGCTACACGTGAAACCTCAGATAGGTCCACAACTCCTGGATCTGTGCAGTTAGTACATATCCAAGTTTCGTTACCATTACACAAGAGGACCCAACATCTGAGGAGAGCAAGAAGTTGTGAAGATATGAGTCTTGAAGTAGTTGTGAAGATCTTATCCTTGAGATCCCGGGATCTGGATCTGGTGCTCCATCAAGCGGAGGTGATCCTGGATCTGATAGATACAGGAGATCTGATAGATACAGGAGATCTGATAGATACAGGAGATCTGATAGATACAGGAGTCTGTCTTTTCTTCAGTTGGGCCTTTTCTTCAGTTCTAGGACCGATAGAGCAGGATCGCATCAACGGAAACTGCGGAGTTCAATATGTTCCATCGCATAGACGATGGGGACCCGAATGTGAAATCAAAGCAGGGATCGCAATCAACAAAGAGATCAGCCCTTCAGCAGAAATGCTCAACATTTTAGATTCCAAGAAGAACGTCATGATTAGTCTCGATGCCATGCCTGAACCAGTCTCACAGCATATTTGGACTCTTCCAGGAAGAAGGCCAGATTCCCGAAAGCTAGGATGTTCTCACAATTTTCAGTCCGAAGAATTTCTTCTCAAGTTGCCGGTTACATTTCCTTTCTTTGCCTCTTCTTTCCACAATCTTGCCAATACTTTTTTGCGTTTTAGAAGATCCTTGCTGCGGTCCCTTCGTGCTTCAGCTTCCGCCGTTTGATGCTTCAGGATCTCCTTTCGTAAACGGAGAATTTTCGGGGTTAGAGATTTCCTCCAAACGGCACGGTTTGACAGATGACACGGGTTTGGCAATGCGAGGAAGAGACAGAGGACTTCACGATAAAATACTATTAATGTTCATTCTAGTGCATTTTGCATTCATTTTTCTGACTACTTATACTTTCGCTGCATTCTATATTTATGTCTGCGATGTCATACACGGCAGTAAAACATTCCTCTGGGTTTTATGTCGTGCTAGTAATACATTCCTCTGGATCAATCAAGTTCAAGAATACGTGAAACGCAGATAAAAATCCACGACCATAATAATTCTTCCGCAGTAGTGCTGAAGTCCTTGTGCATTTGATCAACTGCCGTCTCGCACTCCTCAAAGTCCTCCTTTCTCCCTTCAATCTGCTGACGCTTTTGCGCCGCCTCCTTCTCTAGCCCTTTATTCCTTTTCTCGACTTCCTGGAGCCCCTGCGCCTGGAGGTGTTGGTGAAGAATGAAAAGGCTATGTCTAGAAGTCTTGGGTGCTCTGACCAGACGGGTCTGATGCTGAGCAATAGGGGTGGGCAGGTCGGTCTTCCTTTGGTGCGAAGCTCTGATAACGCCACAGGTTCGAACTCGAAATAAATAAGAACCGAAAAGCCGGACGGGCATCAGGCATGCCCAAATTGGCCCGCCAGAAGCTGCGCGAACAGTTTGAAGAGCCCCCTCTCACCCTCTCAGAAGATCACGCAAAAGCTAAGTAGCCGCGTGGTGGTCGTGGTCGTGTCCAACTATACTCGCGGGATAGCCAGGCCAGCGCGGGCAAGGTTCCCCGATGCCAATACGCGCCACGCCTAGCTCCCTTCAGAAGGCTTCCTCCCACCAAGCTACTTTGCCCGGCCAACTCGCTAAGCCGCCCGCCCAAGCAGCAACCAAGCCGCGCCCACTGCTGGGCGATCACGCCAGAAGGAGCCGCGCGCACTACGGCAGCCGAGGCCCCACAAACCACGGCGGGGCACCCCGCCTCCTAGCAGACAAACGAACCACGCCACCGCCTGGCCGTGCCGAAGCGCTCACGCATCCTAGTAGGGGCGCCCCACCCTATCGCCATGCCCTGCGAGGCACGCAGCTACCTCACTCACACAAGCGCTGCGACTGAGTGCAAAACGCTGGGAGCGCGTGAAGCTCCCAGCGTGCCCCAAATGACTCACATAAGAAAGGAAGCAGAAGCAAGCCGCCCGCGCCTCTTTCTGATCCCCAGCCAAGTCCAGCCCTGGCCCACTTATCGAGCCCGGGCGCGCTACTTCAGTAGCCCCGGCCTGCCCCGGCGGCTCTTTCGCGTCGGTGGACAAAGATCCGCCGAGAAGGTTTCCGCAGCTCGGCCAAGCCGCTGCCCCTCCGTCCAGTATTTGCGCAAACCCTTCCAGCACCAGCGGTAGCAACCCACGAGAGCGGACCCGAGTGCCCCAGCGTATGCGCGCCCGCGAGGTTGTGCACAAACTCAGCCGCCTCCGCTTGTCGAACACGATGCCCGCCAAGCCGGTTGCCATCAGATACGGAAGCGCGCAGCGCTTACCGGCGTCGGCTTTCGCTCCGTGCCGCGTAGTGTTTTCCACGCTTTGGATAGCTAAGGGGCCGCCGCGCTGGGTCTAATGACCCCCAGCACGACAGCCAGAGAGCTACACACTTGACAGGCGTCACGCCTCGGGGGAAAGGCGCGCCGCCGTCGTCGTCGTCGTCTGGGGTGTACAGGCCTCAGCCGTCGCCCCCTGGCAGTAGAGTTGGCGGGGCTTCAGCATTCAGCACGCCCGAAGCGGTTGCCGCCTGCTTTTCCTGCTCGTATGGTGGCCAAAGCCCTGCCCAAGGCGGCCCGCCGTTGGCTAAACTACGGCCCCGCAAGAGCGCCCGCCACCGATGGCTCCCACTTGGCGGGGCGTGGGTCTGCTCAACGGGCTCGCCACGGCACACTGGTCCAGCGCCGCTCCTGGGCATCGGCGGGAGGCCCTGCGCGCTGAGGCGGCTGCCGCTCGATGACCTGCGAACGCCGGCGCACCGTAGTCAGCCCCCCACCGCGCAACCCTCTCGAGGCAGGTGACCCGCGGGTAGTTTCAGTCTAACCAAGGCAACGGCCAATGAGACAAGTGAAATACCTCATCTGCCACTTTTTTCTTCAGTTCTTCTATCTGTGCCTCAAACTTGGTGAACTCCGCTTCACGCAGCTCGTCGCGCTCCTTCAGGATCTTTGAACGCGCCTCGTATTCCCCCAGGAAGTAAGTTAGAGCTACACATCTCACGTTTTTCATGGAAAAGTGGATCGAGAGCTTCTGCTCCCTAGGAATATACGCCATACTTTTCTGCCCGTGTAGAAAGTGGCAAGATCAGCTAGCAAAGATACAGTAGCAGAATCAAACGAACCAACCTACTCAACAGTCATCTAATCCTAATCAGAAACAAACGAGACCTAGCAGTACTGTACCTCAAAGCCATAACTTCACTAATCTTTCTCGCAATTCCTGGTTCTCTTGTCGTTCTTTTTCGAAGATTTCATCCTCCTTCGCTCGCATCGGTTCAATCTCTTCCTCAATGCACCGCCTCAGAGATGCGCACTTTTCTTCTTCTGCAATCTCGAGTGGAAATTAGAGGTTGAGGTATACAACTTCGATTCTCAGGAGTGGTGAGAATAACGAATATGAAATGGATGTCATGGATGACATTCATGTTAAGTATGAATAGGAGGTGAATGGGCATGGGAGTCAGAAGAGCGATAAAGAGAGACGAAACAAAGCAGTGACTCAACTACAACAAAAGAAAGTTACAGCAACACGGTCTATCTAAGTAGTCTTTCAACTAAACTGCTTCCTACTCCGCTCGAAAGGATCATAATCTTTTTTCCGCTCTACAGCATCTTTTGTTCGCTTTCGAATATCACTGCAGGCCTGTTTCGCTGCTGAAATCGCATCCTCTCGACGCTTGAGGGTTGTGGAGTTTAGAGAACAAAATAAGACCACTCTAATTCCTCTAGCATGAATCACGAAATATAGTTGTTCGACCCGTGTAAGTATTACACTAACGTCTTTCTTCGAGCACGATTATATCTTCATAATTTCAGAGTTGCGTTCTCGGTCGCCAATTTTTTTTCCGCATCCTGAAGGTCTTGCAGTCGTAGATCCTTCTTCTCTAACTCCTCGCAAAACGGCAGTAATAAGCGCTTAAACTCCGAGACGGTCGTTGGTGGCGGTGGTGGAGGTTCGGGTACAGTTTCCGGCTGTGGTGGTGCTGGTGCAGATTCGCCTACCGTTGTCGAAGGTGGTGTTGGGTCAGAGGCTGTCGTTGGTGCTGCTGCAGATTCGACGACTGTCGTTGATGGCAGTCCTTGTGCAGATTCGACTGATCCTCTCGTTGTTGACGCTAGCAGAGCAGCTAGGGCAGCCTCCGCCACGACTGTCGCAGGTGGAGACTGTCCGCCGTCTCCGTTCACAGGATTCTCTACTGGAGTAGAGGACTGTCCGCCGTCTCCGTTCACAGGATTCTCTAGTTGCGTAGAGGACTGCCCCTGAGACTCCGCCTCCTGCGACTGCGCCCGCTCGGTCAGAGTCTTTTCCCCCACCCGAGACGGCGGCTCAAACTTTGAGGATGATGTAGAAGTCTGATCCCCGACTACAACCGGACACGGAGTTTCAGGTGCATTGCTACACGCCGTCATGGTTTTTGGGACTTCGTGGAACAGGTCTGACTCTAGGAAGGTGAACAACTACAGCAAGAAGAATAAGTTTAACTACTTCTAGAAGGGCTCAATTACAAGACTCACTGCAAGCGCAAGAACCGAATTTCAAGAGTGCATAAAAATGCCTCGCCGAAAAAAAACATTATAAGCAAGACCGTCATAAGCATCCATTTTTTGGTTTACGTAAGCGCCCATTTACTTTATCGTGAGCACCTGCAGTGAACCAGAACACAGAAACGACGGACTCTAGTGTCGTAGAAAAATTTGGTCTCCCGACCAGCAAACCCCCAAAGAGCTGAGAGACTATCGTATTCGCAAAGCGACACAAATGCCGTCTTCGCTGCCCTCTGGTGCATACACCATGCTTTCATACTGACTTGCATTAGAGGATGTTGACAAGGGGATAGTTCTGGTTGACTCAACATTCTTTGATGCCTTCTCAGCATCCTGGAGCATCTTTACGAACGTACATCTGCCTTCGTAAAAATCTTCACCTCGATGATCTTCAGTGCTTCCCCTCACACATTCAGCCTCCTTTATCTCTTCTTTTACTTTCTTACTTCCATCATAGTAGCCCACATGATGCAGCAAGTCACAGGCTCTATTCACACATCTACAAGGGCCCTTCCGCTTTCCTCTTGCCACAGCCTTTGCCCTATTCGCCAAGTGGTCCTTTGATGCTACATTGTCTGCGACCACGAAAGTGCCTGCTTGGACTACGTCCCAAGCCTCTAGCATCTTCAAATCCCTACAATACCTGGCTTTCTGATGGTCAAGGAAAAGGAGGTTGACCCCTGCTAGACGATAAGAAGAACTTGAACTAGTGCTAGTGTTGTTGAGGGGAGTACTACTTGAAGAAGTTGCTGTTGTTGTTGAGGGAGATGTTGAGGGAGAGACACCCCTGAATGTAGAGGCACGACTTGACGAAATCTCCGGTGTCGTTGTGCAAGGATTCGTTCTCAGAGGGGTGGCATTCTTTTGCAGCGACAGCTTCTGCGCCTCTAGGGCCATCTGCAGTGCGCGGACCTCTCGCCTAGCGACATCGACAGGTCTCAAATCTGAATTCAAGACCGCCAATGTATCTAACGCCTGCTGGTCCGCTGCTGATGGAGCAACTGTGGTCACTACAGTTCGACCACTTGTTTGAAGACTTGTCCTCTGTTGTCCATTTGCCTGACTCCTGGTGTCCTCGTCAAAATTCAAAGCTGCACCTCTCATCGTCATTGCGCAAGGACATATTCTCAAAGGGGTTGTTTCATCATCTTCTTCTTTATCCACGGCCATCAAATATTCTCTCAATTCCGGATTCATATTTATCTTGAAACAAGAACCCTCATCTTCATCGTCTCCAGGTAGTTCTAGTTCTGGGAGTGGTGAGCCAGGAGCCTCTTCCTCCTCCTGCTCATCCCTTTGTAAGCTCCCTTGAATGACCTTAACGCAATCGTGTACGCCAGCAAACTCCACAATTTTCCGCGCATAAGAAGCATTCTCAGCATTCCTCTCTAAGGATACGACTAGAAAAGGACGAGATGAGGACTCTTGTTTTTCGCTACTATTCATCGTATCATCTGTAAGCTCCAGTAACGTTTTCGCCATACGTACAGCAGAATATCCGATGTAACCACCAACTTCCAAGGCTACAAATTTTCTTCGATGTTGTACTCGTTGTTCATCTGGAAGATCTCTCTTTCGGTCTTCACTCCTCTGCTCTTCCTGCATTCTACTAAGTGCTGCTTGTCGCACTGCATCGTCTAAGATCTCGCCTTTCAGTGGACCTACATGAAGCATTGACCAGCGCTTGTGGAAGGTCTCCAAGGCTTCCAGCACCGACCTCGGATTCCCTCTTTCAGCAGTAGCCTCTACGTAGGCATACGCATATCCTTCTCGCCCGTCGCCGTAGTTGCCCACTTCGTAGTAGGCGGGAAGTCGACCCATTTTTGGAGCAGGATGACTATGAGGATATTATTTTTTGGTTCACCGCTAAAGTCCTCTAGACTCTCCAAAAATTCCTCTGTGATCTCGCAGTCCCCAAAGAATTCCTCTTCTGCATAGTCAAAAAGGCGACGCATCAACAGCTTGGAAGCGTAGAAGGTTAAAGACGAGGACGTGGAAGTGGAACTAGAAGTTGTGCGATTCGATGAGGAACCATTGTTATGAGATGTGAAGAAATGGCGATCACATTCGGTACTTGGAGTAACTGTACGTGGAGTTGGAGTAAGTGTACTTGGAGTGACCCATTTTTGGAGCAGGATGACTATGAGGATATTATTTTTTCTTGGTCATGGATATTATTTTTTGGCATGCTACTGAAAGAGCGGCCTCAGCCTTATCCAGTTCGCAAACCGGCGGCAGGCGGAGCTTAATATTGTAGTGCCAAATTTGTACGACATCAAAAATGAACAGATTTGAACCACGCAGAAAAAGGATCTTCCTTGTTACCTCCACCGAAAGAGATCCTGTGGGCAATAAGATCTTTTCATCAGAGCTATATGATCTATTCTTGCAGCGAACTATCCATGATTTCACTCACAAGGTCAATTGAGTCACGCGCCTAGCAGAGTAAACGCCAAAGCAAGAGGTTGAAACCGTATGCAGTGTTTGCTCTGCGGTTAGCCGCGTGTCGCATGATTTTTGGAATTCCATGATATTCATCTCACTATTGTAGGAAAGTCGTCTTGGTTTTGCAAATGCTGCATTTCTAAAGGGCAAGTAGAGTGGTGGGGGGCAACTTGGTGGAAGAATGCCAATCTTCTTCAGGGAGTAGTCGTAGTAGTGCACACAATGACCTACTCTCTCATGTAGGGCGAGACACACAAAGGGCTATGTAGGATTCCAGTGTGCTGCATTTAAGATGTGTTCTTTAAGGACTTCCAGTTGTAGGCGTGCTTTGGTACGTAACCCTTGCTCCTTCTGTAGCCCCCGCAGCACCAAGAGCTACTAGGAGGAGTTACGTAAAAAAGTAAGCGGCGATCCTGTTCTTGTTGTTCGGTGTAAAAATTACAATATGTAATAGCGTGTTATTCATGTTGCGAATTCGAGCATCAAGGCGAAGCGAAAGATATATTTACAAAGTGTTCTACTTCTTGTTCGTAACTTCGTACTTATTCGTACTTTCTTGAATGCTTACTCCTAATACAAGGCGATCATGACATACTGCTTCTTCGAACCCAGTTGTAGGGCAGCTAGTAGCTACAAATACATTATCCCTATGAAGACCATTACACATGTTCTTGAGACAAAAAATTACTTGTTTTCTCATCCTTCTGTTTAGGTTGGAAACTACATTTGTGTTTGAACAATACCTTGTTGTTGTGGTTGAAAGGTGTCGTGAATTTTCAATCCTCAGTAGTGGTAAATCTCACAGTTGTAGTCTCAATCATCGTCAGGCGGTAGTTGTATGTCTGATGTTTCGATAAGAAAGTTGCACAAGGGACGAGAAGGACGAGTCCTGTCGTATCACGCATTAACCTAAATATCGAGTATTTTCAATTGAGTAATCTTTTAACAAAGAGTAAGTTCCTTTACTTGGTATAATGTTGGTGGAGCAGGCCTACCAAAATTAAAAAAAATAAGTTCGCATGACATTTTGTTCGGTAACATGAAGACACTTGCTTTGCAGTAGACTTTTCTCCAGTTACATCAAGTCCATTTTCAAATTGAATTTCTATTCATCAAAGTTGTTGTGGGGCGCCTTGTTGTACTAGACCGCCTGAAGAAACTTCTTGCTGTTGCATCATTTGCTCAGCCTGTCGCTGTTGTTGTGGGACAGCTCCCGCACTAGTGCCAGCCTGTGGTCCCTGATGGTTCCCAAAACTATTCATCGCGTTGTACATGGTACTGAGGTGTCGTTGGCGCTCTCTGGCGAGTTGATCCTTCATTTGCGCAATCACCTGGTCTTCATGGCACTGCCAAACTTGATTCAACGCGTGTAGTTGACTCGCAAGCAGGTTGGACGAGGACGGTGGAGGTGGGACGAGTGGAGGTTCTATTCCTCCCGTGCTGGTATGTAGGAGTGGAGGATTGCCATTCATGTTGAACCCACCTGCTCCTGCGACCCCTCCTCCTTGTGCTGGTGGGAACAGGCTACTCCCGAACATCATGCTAGCCATGTTCATAGGCATGGAAGAAATGCCTGCCGGACCCGGAGAGGAGTGTGGAGCACAAGTCGGAGATACTGATGTTGTCCTCGGAGGTACCACAAGGGTTCCTATGCTGGCATGTTGGGCATTTGACGTTGATGCAGGTGGAGCCGACGTTGCAGGCTGATGGCCTTTGTAGTTCCTTTGCTCTGTTGTACTAGAAGTGATTTTTGCACCTCCAACAGTAGTAAGGCCTTGTTGTTGATAATCAAGTTGAATTTGCTTTCGTTGCTCCTGTGATTGCTGATTCAAACCAAGAAGTTTCTGGTGTGTTTCCTCACGTGGTTGGAGCTGGTGCTGTTGCTCCACCTGGGTCCCTCTCAGCAGCTGTTGTTCCTCGATCATCTGCTCTCCCACGACCTGCACATTCTGATGTTCTTGATGTTGCTCCACCATCTTCTGTTCTCCCAGTACTACTTGCAAGTTCTGTTGTTCCTGCCATGGTTGCCACTGCTTTTGTGATTGTTCCCCTAGAAGAACTACAGGATGCTCACCAGGCTGCATCCACATAGGGCTTTCCCCACTCGCAGAGGTGCTGGGCGTGTTCGCTCCCTTCATCATTGGCAGGAAGCATTCTTAGAAGAAGCAAAGGAGAAGAAAGTGAAAGGCAGAGCATATTCCTGTCGAATGACTATCGAGAACGATACGGGACGATCACGAGACGATACGACGCTGTTCTTGTGCTTCAAGCAGTCTTGAAAAAATTCAAGTCTTGCTAGTTCGTTGTACTTCCCTAGTATAGAAAGATCCCTAGCTAGCCAAAGATGAAGCTATCACACAGCATCAACTCCTCGCACGATAGCACCAACTCCTCACACGATAGCGCCAACCTGCTCATCGAAAGCTGCTCTACTACTAAAATCTTCTTCAAAAGAATAGTTCCCTGCTTCAGCGATAAAAAAAGCCCCTTGAAGCAGATCCTTGTGGTCCTTTTCATCTAAAAAGTTCTTCGTGCAAAGATGTTCACCTACGTGAAACAAAGAAAGCTCCACCTCTCCGTAATTTTCAGGAAAACCAGTACTGCTGCTCCCTGTGCCTGTCGATGAACAAACACCAGTATGAAATTGTCCGAGTTGTCCACCACAGCCATTTGTGCTGGTGCTATTGAACGTTGTGATGTTGCCTCCTCCAGTTCCTCCAGTCATGTTGTTGTGCTGGTCGAGCACGTGATTGCTGGCGCCGGATAATGCGCTGTCCGCGGAAACGGTTCGAGGTCGGCATAGTTGGTCTAGGAAGAAAGCTGTTGAAGACGAATTCGAATTCATACCTCCTCCTATCATAGTCGACGGGTTCATACCTCCCCCTACGCCGTTATTTGGAACAGTCCCAGTAGTATGTTGCTGCAATTGCCCGTGTAGTCCTCCGAAGAGAGGACTAGTAGTAGATCCTGTAGGTGCAACTGAATTTAGCGCGCTGTTGTTACTGGAACTACAAGAACTATTGAGATGTTGCTGTTGCATAGCACCTGCTGCATAAACAGAACCGCCTAGAAACTGAGAACCAACTGCTAGTCCTTGTTGCAGGGGAACAGATCCCGATTGCAAATACCCTAGCGGTCCGTTATTGAAAAGGTGCACTTGCTGGGCATGACCTTGACCTGGTGCTGTTAAAGCAGCTCTTGTCTGCCAATGCTGGAGATGCTCTTGTTGTTGGTCACCATTTACTGTTGGAAGCTCCTGATCGATGTTGCCACCACAACTAATATGAAGATGTTGATGACTAGTAGCCAATGGTAGCTGATTGTTAGATCCCACCTGCTGCATTGTTCCATTCTGCATGCCAGGACCTCCGACGGCAACTTGAGCAACGGGATCATTCTGCAAGTTTCCAGGTAGCCAAACGATTTCGTTTGCGGGAAACATGCCTGCCGGGAGAAAGTTTCCATGAAGCATCGTAGACGTAGAGTGTCCATGAAGCATCCCTGCATTAGACGTAGAAAGACCGGCTACAGTAGAAGGGGAGCTCGAAGCCGTGGGAATGGTGACTAGCGTCATTGGAGGTGCAGGAACACAAGGTGCTGGAGTACCAGAAGCATTCTCTGTAGCTGGAGGACGAGGAAGACCACTATTGGTATTGGCGGAAGAAGAAGAAGAAGAAGAAGAAGAAGAACCATTCGTAGAAGTAGTTGACATAGAAGTGGTGGACACTGTAGAACCAGTAGGGCCAGCCTCACGACCCTGAGCACTGCATATTAGACTCCCGGGAGCTACTGTACTAGCTGCATAGACCACTGGTCCAACTCTATTGCTACTAGTACTGCATAGACCACTAGTGAATACTTCTCCATCGGTATTTTTACTGTCCGCAGTCGTTGATGTGGTTGATGTTGCTGCAACAGGAACACTCGAGGTAGTTGTACTACCTGAAGGCTGTTGTGTGTCTTTCGTGGGCTCATCACCACCTTGCTTGCTGTTACCGGCATCAACTACAACTCCTTCTAGACCTCTAGAAGCTACAGCACCTTCTTTTAGATCTTCTCTCGGAGGACTACGTAGCAAGTCTTCCAAGCGACTCACTGGTAAGTCCTCGCATCTACTTCGGAAATTCATGTTTACTCCTGAGAGTCCACCAGGAGCAGCTCCAGACGACGGCTGTGGGGAAGCAAGGGAAGGGACCATGTAATGATCCTCGGCACTACTTCCTGGAAGGCCTAATTCGCTTTTTTCAAGAAGACCTTGAGGACCTTGTAGCTGTCCACCTCGTTGTTCCTGAAGGGGACCTGACAGTTGTTCATCTATTTCTTGACGTGATGGGAGAACCAGTGACGACTTACCAAGACCTGCCATGATCTGTTGATCCCCCAGAAGAGGACCTTCTTCTCCTCCGACAGACAGTGGCTGTGCGACATCTATCATCGCTACATCTCCACTAACACTAGACTCCTTTGATGACCACTCTTGCCGTCTTCTAGTGCACCCTCCAGCCAGATCTCCTATTCCTGTTCCTAGAGCATGATTGATGCCTAAGACACCATGGTGCTCTCGTACTCCTGCTTGTTCTGTACTTCCTAATATAGGATTGATGAAGGCAGATTCGTCTGTTTTGAGTAGCTGCCCACCTTCCTGGTGTTGAGCTCGATTTGACGTTAATGTTTCAGCCTGCTGGTGGTCGTGGGACTGTTCTTGAAGACCTGTTAATACACTCCGTCTACTGGAAGTTCCACTACGTCCAGATTGCCTCGTCCTCGTCTTGACAGAAGCCGTGCTCTTGGTTACAACCTTGACGTTGCTCTTCGAAGTTGAAGTGGTACTAGAGCTAGCGGCTGTCGTGGTGTTCCTACTTTTACTTGTGCTGATTCCACGAGGACCTCCTGTAGGACATGACTTCGTAGGAGCTTGAGCGCGATTTCTATTGGAGGTGGCGCGATTACATTCTTCAGATCATCCCGGACCCAGTGACATCCGCTTGGAAAAAGGTCAAGGATGTCAGTGAAGGATGTAATGCGGAAACCCTTAATTCGAGTACGAGTTGGCGCGACAGATCTCATTTTCCCTCGAGTCGTGCTAGTAGATGAGGCCGGGTTGGATCCACGCTGGTTCGGTCTCCGCGAGCCTCCAGAGGCGATCTTAGGCTTCTTTTCATCTTCGTCAACGTAGAAATCATCATCGTCATGCAAATCTTCTTTATGATCCGCGTCGACTTCCTTGTCGATGTCGGCAAGATCTACATTCGAGCTCACTACAATCCATCTCGTCTTCCCTCATCTGCTTCTATTTTTCTTCTTGAAATATTAAACAGCGCACGGATGGACTAAAAAGATGGATGAAGCAAGGCCTTAACTTCTACAGCGTCATTTTTATCAACATCTTCCTCTGACCTTACTCGCTTCCTTCCAACACGGTTCGTAATTATCATTCCACTCCCATGCGTCATGATACTCGGAACACTTAAGTGCTGTGATCCGTGTGACCTAGACCCTCTTGAACGCGAAGAAGGCGGTCCTCCTCCGCCGCCACCTGAAGGTCCTCCTCCAGGGCCACCGCCTCCAGAGGCACCACCAGGACCACCACCAGGACCACCACCAGGACCAGGACCAGGACCACCACCAGGACCACCACCAGGACCAGGACCAGGACCAGGACCAGGACCTGAAGGTCCTCCAGAAGTGCCTCCTGTCGTTCCTGTACCAGCACCCCCAGGAGAATCTTTTTTCCACTTCAAGCTCCGCTTCAAATGTGTTTCAAAAGCAGGAGCAAAAAGGGAAGGCAGCCATAGGACTCCTTTTTTTCTTGTTAGAGTCGGCTTTTATTCATTTCGCTCCCCTCGTCTTGACTCCTTTATATATTGCCCTCGTAAAACTTCATAGAAATAATACAGGGAAAAAGGGCAGCAAGATGCCGAGAAAGATGGATAAAAGCTGACCATAATCTTGGATCGGCTAACGATGTCGGAGGCCCCTTTTTGTCGCCCTCTTCGTCGTCGTCCTCTACGACCACGCCTTGTGGCTCTTCAGCACTCTCTGCAGCACTATGTTGGTCCTCTACAGCGGCCATTGCGTTTCGTCCGTTTGCTCTAGGAACTTCTGCACTTGTTCTAGGAACTTCTGCATCAACAGCAACATTGACCGCAGTTTCCGCTGGTGACGACCTTGATGGAGGTAGCACACTGTCGACACTGCTTTTTGGCGCTCCTTTAGACTTCCAGGATGGCAAACTAGGAGCACTCGCGGACGACTTTGACGAATGTCCGCTGGACGATCCCTGAGGAGGGTAGACCACACTACTTTCTTGATCTTGATCGTGATGGCGACCACTTCCGCTTTCCCCTCCTCGACTTGCTGCATCATCGTGAAGATCGTTTCCATTTGTTGGTGGAACTGCGGTGTCGTACTTTCTAGGGCCTTCTAGAAACCGATCACTGAGGAAAGGCGGAAACGTCTTTCGCAGAAAGGCAGAGTCATCCACCGGCTTCCGTCTCGCCCTAGTAGCTCTTTTCGGAAACGTCAAGGGGCCTTTCCAGTGGTAGCTGTATTTCTTGGCACTGCTGTTGCTCGGTTTGCCACCGTTCTTCGATGATGACTGACGTCGAGCAGATCCAAGATGCAGAGGAGACGTTGTTCCTGTTGTTCCTGGAGGTGGAACTGGATGACCCGGATGAACGCCTTTTAACATTGAAGTTGTACTTGGTGCGAAGAGCTTCGTTGCGCCAAACATAACTGGTGCTCCATCTCCAGAAATAGCTCCAGAAATACTACGACCAAGTGGATGTGTATTATTTGGATGTTGCAGTTGATGTTCCGCGATAAAATTATTGTTGTCTTGAGAAGCGAATTTTTCTTGTAGTGGATCGTCGTTCATGAGTTGTAAGGTCGTTGTTGACTCTAGTACTTGCACTTTGTTTTTCATAGAATCCGTCAGAAGTTCTGCTCCTTGTCCTCCTGAACCGAGTTGTAAACCTCCTCCAGCAACATTCATCTTGCCGTCCTCTTCCGTAGCTGCTTCTATGTCTCCTCCATTGGCCAACAGTCGCAAAAAATCATGTCTAAAATTCTGTGCGTGTAGTTGTGGGGTCGCATAGCGTGCTGGCCAGGGGAAGGAGGTCACGCAGGCTTCTACCGTCTTCGGATCTGGCGCGACGCCTTGCTTATTTGGTGCAATCGCATAGTCTAGCGCCACTCGTTGTCGGTAATTCTTCTGCATCGTATTTATCTCCCCTAACTCGATTACCGCTTTAATCGCTGTAGGATTCTGGTTGCGGCAAGCATAGAACAAACAGGTCTCCCCGTTTTTGTCAACATGGCCAGCGTTGGCGTTCTTTTCCAACAGCAGAGCGATCACGTCAGCGCGATCATTGAAGTTACAGGCATAGAAAATTGGCGTCTGATTGTTCATATCCCTGCAGTTCAGATCCAATTTCGGACACCGTTCCATCAGCATGTGCGTGATCTGAAGTAGGACATCGCATTAGCATTTACGTGTGTCCGTGTAAGTAATGGAAGAGTGGGAGGGTGGGAGGGTGCTCTTCAACAAAAATAGAACTTTGAATCTTGTTCTTGACTGATGAAAGCATAAGAATAAGTAGGGGCACCTACCATACAACCGAGTAGATGAAGTAGAATTATTCGCAGAAAAAAATCTTAGACATACCTTCTTCGCATATTTTGGGTCAGACCGCTGAATTGCGTCAAACAACAGGTTTTGCGAGTCATCTGGTGCCTTGTAACAGACGTCGTCGCTTGATGCTGCGTCGAGGAGCATCCGCAGCTTCTCAACATCATTGCCAAACTTCACCTCAGTAGCTAAAAGTGCCCACGCTAATCGTGCCTCGACCAACTCCCTGTTTGAATTGGAGGTTTTAGTTTCATCGTTGGAAATAATATATAAGATGAATCTAGGACTTTTCAAGATCAGTATGTGTATAGAACCTATTCATTCTGTATATATACAATGCCTGCTGGCTATATATAGAATAGGTTATCATAAGGAGTCATAGAACGTCGAGAGAGGACTTCAGGTCAAGAGAGTCAAGAGATGAATCAAGATAGTACGGCCTAATTTCCCTGAGCACAGTCGTGTTCTCCCAGGAGCTCGTCTTCAGTTCCATGAGGGTGCACCTTCGGTAGTTGAGCTTGTGGATTGCGTCCGCGTCATTACTCTCGATTACTTTGGCTCCATTCGCTGGCTTCCGCCAAAAGTGAGCGGCTGGCTGCGTTGCAGGCACGATAATCTTGCGAATTTTCCTTGCCGCGTAGGTCTTTTTGATGAACCAGACGAGTAACTCGCCAAGGCCCAAACGTCGCCACCCCTTCGCAGTTGCGAAGAGGGTCAAAACAGTCTTGGTCTTAGTTTTCATCGACTCCTTGGAGTTGCCAGTGGTAGAAGACGTAGTGTTGTTACAAGTAGTAGCAATTGTAGAATTGTTGTGTTGTTGCACTTGAAGACCACCACTCGTAGTTGTTGCACTAGTAGAGGCACTCATCGTGCTCGATCCAGTGGGAGGCATGATCGTTCTAGCACTATGGAGCCTAGTAGCCTGGTGTTGTCCTCCAGCAAACTGCACGTGATGCCCAGGAGGAATGCCACCACCTTGAATGAACCCCTGAGTGTGCATCTGTAGATGTTGACCTCCTCCGTCTAGAAGGCGTTGAGAATGATGTCCTAGATGACTTCCGTGGTGTCCTAGAAGATTTCCTTGAAAATTGGCACCAGCGGCTCGACCACGACCATTATGACGGGCCGCACGACGTGCTGATCGCGTTACACTTGAGGAAACACTACTTCCTCCAGGCACTCCGCCTATAACAACGCCAGAGGAAACTGCTGTTGTTGCGCTAGACCCCGACGACGACGCACCACTCGACGAGGTACCCGTTGCTGGTGGATTCACTGGTACACTAATCCCCTTCGCGGTCATCCCTGCGGCGCAGACCACTTGTCCACTCGCTGCATGGCGCAAAGAGAAAGTTTCCGTATTAGACCTCAAAGCAATTCATCTCTTCCCTTCATTTCTTCAGAATGATCCGAAAAAGGAAACTGAAGACAATGGCCCTTGGAGATGAATTGCATTTTTGAGCCTTAACCGTAGAGTACTTCCCGTCAGCCCACTCTTGAATACACACTTCCGTGAAATTCCCCCACTTTCTGAACAATTCGACTACTGCTTCCCGATGCTGATTGATCTCAAACACTAGATGGTCATCCACAGTTTGAAGTTCCCGATCATCTTGATCTTCCATTTCATCCTCAACACAGCTTCCGTCGTTGTCGTTGTTGTTGGACGTAATGTTGGTACCATTCTTAGCATGTGTAGTACGTGTAGTAGTAGTACGTGTAGTAGTAGGTGGCTTTTTTCCTGTCAGATCTATTGAAGGTGGAGGTGGCTCTTTCTTCGTCGCATCGACACTCTCCAACACTAGATGATCGTCAACACCGCTTCCCTCGACACTCCCCACTGGCGGCGTATCTGGAATAACTACTACTTCTGATGTTGCTCCTGTTCCCTTAGTATTGTTCTGTCCTCCCGGGTTTTTCTTCCCACCAGTTGTAGCGGCCCTAGAGGAACTACTAGTAGCAGTGATCGTTGTCGTTGTTCCATTTTTAGTACTGGAGGCATTGTTCTTCTTACTACTTCCAGTAGCGCTACCATTATTAGTGCCTTCTGCAACGATATCTGCAAAAGCTCCTGTAGTTTTACCACGTTGCTTGGCGCGTGGCTTTTTTGAACGTGGTTCTTCCTCACCGTCATCGGCAGATGAACTACTACTGCTTGAGGATCTGGGAGAGGGCTTTTTCTTAGATCCATCTGCTTTCTGGAGTTCTTGTGTGGACGAGGACACAGCTGCTCCACCACGGGGTCGCTTTTTTGAACCCCCTGTGGTGGTCGTAGTGGTAGTAGTCTCTATAGTTTGGAGTTCTGGTTTTTGTTCTTGTTTTTGTTCTCCACTTCTGGACGAGGCTCCTCCAGCAACATTATACTTCGACAGAATACTACAAAGCCGTTGATTCTTGTACTGTGTCACCGCTAATTGTGCTGCGGTATCGGCACTTGGACCTGAGAGTACTGTTGTTGTAGTACTACTGTTCTTACCAGAAGTTGTAGCAGAGGAAGGAGTTGTAGCAGAGGTTAGTACACCACTTGTTGTAGTTGCACCTGCTCTATTACCCGTACTAGAACTTGAAGCAGATCCTGATCCTTTCAAATTTCCCAGAGTAGTTGCACCAGTGCTGGTTACCGGTGCTCCAGCTGTCGTGGGCCTCTTAGAGGAAGAAGACGAACTCCCTCCCCACGTGTACGCTAGGACGCTCCCCGCGCCAACCCTCTGCGCCGGAAAGCAAGCGCCTGAAACAACCGACATTGTTGATGTGTCTAACAAGTCAGAATCAAATCAAGAAGGAGACATAAGTTAAAATTCATTCGTTCTCCTGTAATCTTCTCAAGAGTTAGTAAGACCATCCTTATGATTTGCCGAGGCCGACGAAGATGAGCAATCAAATTAACACTAAATCAAATCCAAAAGCAGGGCTAGTTGAAAGGGGATGATCAAAACACTTCAACAAAACAAACACCAAAATAGTAGAGAGCGAAATTCTTCTTGTGAACAAGTTCTCGTTTGAATCTTCATCAAAAGTTCTTTCTGCCTCAACACATTAATAAGATCTTAATTAGGATGAAATATTGAGAATCATCATGATATTAAGAGAGTTCATTTACAACAAGTGCTTCGAATTTAATTAAAGAAAGGTCGCGCTGTCGCTGTGCATGTCGCTGTGTTAGATTTTTTGAAAAATTTTGTCGTCATTGTTAAGTAATCGGTTGTAGAAGAATCTATCAAACCTATAATTAAAACAACTCTTAAAACTAGTACGAAGTAAGCAGTTCGTGGATGGGGAATTCAATCATATAATGCGCATGGTGTTTTAGTTGCGAAATCTAGTACTGTAGTTCCGTTTACAGATGGACCACCTATCGGAATTTTCGTTCTATGCGAAAAGAGACCGCCAACTATGAAAGTTTAGTTGTATTTGGAATTTTTGCATCACATTCCAGTACCTTCGTGATTGTCTTAGGATTTCTCTTGCTGTTCCAGTACCGTCGTGCACCTCCGAAAGCCAATGGGTGCATGGCAACCGAAGCACCTGTATACACAGTGACATAAGTACACATTGCGCCTCTTGATGAACATCGATCAATTAGACATACAATGACTCTTGCTGAACATCACACGGACTAATCGTAATCGATTCACAATGGCGTTTATTCTGATACGAAAAGTACGAACCAAGACAACGCGAATTTCCTATTGATCGAAGTAGACGACGCTTCGTCTATACGAAGATCGAGGAGTAGAAACGTACGAAGATTCGTATGGATGCTCTGGTTGCTCCTCTATCTATAAGTGAACGATAGACAAGATTCCTTCTCCAACGATATTCTTGGGGTTAAGTGGGGGCCATACAGCGACAAGACACGTCTGCAGGTACCGACGCCAACCTTCATGTTCATCTCTCTTTCCGTTTCCTTGTTCTTATTGAATAATACCAGACGACCAACCCACGATGTCATTGTTCTTGTGAACGAGAGCATCTAATACTTGACCGAGTAGAACTAGAGACGAACAAAAGGGGATCGCAATCGGAAGTGACAATGCATTCTTGGAGTTCTTGAAGGGGTCTTCTATTTTTCCATTTTGATGTCCATTTTCTTCGATTTTCATATCCGACAAAAACAATCCCATTGACGTTGACCCTTCGAACAAACGGCGCGCAGTAGGTGCGTACACAAGGTAGCAGTGTCCTTGTTCGTGGTTGTAAGCGGATCTTTCATGATACAGAAGTATTCATCATGCTGTGCATCTTCTATTAATTGAAAGCTTTGTTGTTCGGAGAATAATTCATAACGGAACAACTCACCGGTCAACAACATAACACATTTTCGGGAGGGAAAGAAGCCACTAATTCTTAACCCGCACTTGCTACGAAGAGATCGGCCACATGTGTTTTTAGCAACTGTTGCCGTCTCGCAGCGTCAGCGACTCGGTTTTTCAATATATTCCTCGCTGTCTTATGTGTTCGAAGGGCTGCAAGAACCTAGGTTGGGGGTGATCTTCTTAGATCAAATGACATTGTAAAGGAGCTCCCCGGATCATGTTGTCCTTGATCATTTACAGTATGGTCGTCCTTGAAGAAGATATACTTATAATCATAATTCGTGATGAAGAAAAGAACGGTCGATCCCATTATGATAATTCAATCGATTCTATTAATCAACGGGCTCTCACATGCACCATAAGCTTTTAACGTAAGTATGTAAATCAACAAGCTCTCACATTATGATTTTAAGCTTTCAACGTATGTACCTCATCCCTATGTTTTTTTTCAACCCCAATCTCTCTCCGATACGTATTCGTCATTGTCGTTATCGCCTCCAATTGTTCCTTGTGCTCGCCAAAAACCAGCAGTAGTTCCTTCATCTGCTCGCTCATTGTCTCGACTTCTAAGGCTGGATGTTTCTTGGGAGGGGTTAAAAGGATGGAGATTTTGGAATCGACTTCTAGAGGGAAGATGACAATATGGGAGAGGATCACAGAATAGAGAGGATGGGCAAGGATAGAGAGAATGGAGAAGGATAGAGAGAATGGAGAAGGATAGAGGAATCGAGTATCATTGAAAAGTGTATAAAAGCGTAGCGATATTTGGAACGACAGTGGTGAAAGTACCTAGTTTCTCATTTTCTCTGAGGAGGCCTGCGAGTTCATGTCGAAGTTTTGTGTTCCCTTCCTCTAAATTTGAAACTTTTCTGTCGACATCCTGCTTGTCTTTACTTGCTTTGTCCAGCTGTGCCTTCTTTTTTTCGACTACGGCTTCGCTCCTGCGGAAGGGGTAGAGTGGGAAATAAGTTTGAGTTTATGCAAACTGGAAGAGTAGTGGGAATAAAAAACCGGAAGCGTAGAAAGCCGCTTACGTTGGGAATTAAAAACCAGTCCTCATAGACTCTGTGAAATCCCGCATGAAATGACTGAGGATCATCCGATAGGTACAACTCTTCCACCTAAAAATCAAATGAAGTATAAGACTGTACTAACCCTGCTGTGCTTGAACAGGTACTTGTAGAAGAAGAACAAACGGCGTTAAAGCTGCTAATACTTCTGCACAGCTTTCTTCGCATCTTGTATGATCTTGACTAAGGCTGTTTTTTCCGCGTTTTTCAGCTCCAGCTCTTCCGTAAACTGTTTTGACAGAGCCACTATCGTCTGAAAGTCAACGTCAGGTGCACATTTTCTCGTGGCAGAGGGATTAGAAGTGAAGAGGCGGAAGAGCACAGTCAGGGTGGGTGCTGCTGCTCTTGGGTGTTACGCATACTACACTGCGGTGGAGGGCAACTTAGACTGGAGTCTAGAGGTAGAAGGCAAAGACCAAACTCTAGAAAATAGCACGTCTTGTCTTCTCCAGTCGATAACCCTGTTATGATTCTGGAAACAGTCATTGATAGCCTTAATATTAGAGCTCGCACTGATATGACTTCCCATGCCATGCATGAGTACTTTGGCATTTCCGCCAGGCGCAGTTGCCGGTCGCTCCGAAGAGAACCCACTAGATCCGTAGACTGAGATCGTCATTCTGTGATGAGTCGTCGTCGTCTAGTGATAGTAGCAAAGTTGTCGTTCCTTTCTGATAAACGTGTTCTTTGACGCAGCTCCTGCAGAACCGTGGTGATGCGCACTCAACTGCAGCAGTATGGCGCAAATTGTTGTTTCCTCCTTATGGGAAGATGTGAAGCAGCGATTGCGAGATCTTTTAGCTCGAGTGGTCGGAGAAGCAACTGTGTAGTACTACTGCTGTCTTATAATGCGCTAATCGAGCGCTATTCAGTGGATACTTCTGCTGTGCAGGAGGAACTCGTTCGCCTTCTGGTCCCAGAAGACTCCGTCTCCAGACCTCAGTTTCCTCCAACTTAGGCCGGACAGCCTAGCAGGTGAATTCTGCTTTCGAAGAAATCGCTTGAAATCTTCTGAACTTCGCCACTTACGCGTACAGGCAGTCGTGCTCGGCTCGTTGAAAAAACCTTAGGTCATCGCTTTCTCGCTGAGAGACGGAAGATGAACAATCATTAAAGTTTTAATAAGTAACTCAATCAGTGGAAAATAAAACAAAGGAAAAGAAAATTACATAATCTGGAAAATCTTCCTAGTGTTTGTTCATTTCATAAAGCTTCTAACAAAACCAGTTTCGACATCAAACTCATTACTAGTTACTAGTCATCTATTTTCTGTCTCTGTAAAGCCTTTCATCCCTTCAAGGGTGCCTCCGGGTCCGCACCCCTCTCGAAGAACCACAGAAGTCGCTTGGTGATGATGTTAGTCGGTTCGGATTGGACCTACGACTTCCCTGAATCTCTTTTCAGTACGAGTCGACTCGGATTGAACACAGAAGTCTCTTAACCACAATGAATTCGGAAAAACTGTCCTCTGGTGCAATTTTCTCCTTCCTCGCTTAAAAAACGCGACGGGTACTCAGAAGGAGGTCGGGGAAACATGCTCTTCTCTTCCGGCAGTGAGCTCCTCCGTCATATGCCGTCTAATTTTGAACTCTGCATTTTCAAGCTATACATTTTCAAGAAACAACACGGACATAACATATTGAGTGCGGTTACTGTCTCTATATGTGAAGTCATTACACAAGATATTGGTACTTAGTTAACATAATTTTTCCCCATACAACTAGTAAAAATTTAAGGTGGTCGGTGCGTCGACATTACTCGATGAGAAACAGCAACATGTCACACAATCGTGGTCATCAAAAAATCAACGCTCGTCATCTGTCCCTGGGTCCGCCACCCGCGCTGCTCCACCCGCGCTGAAACCCTGTTTTTGAGATTTTCGCTCGCCGAATGAGAAAAAGTCATCTGTCCCTGGGTCCGCCACCCGCGCTGCTCCACCCGCGCTGAAACCCTTTTTTTGAGGCCGCACAGCCACCTGCTCGGTACTCATTCGAGGCCGCACAGCCACCTGTTCGGTACTCATTCGAGGCCTTACAGTGGCCTGCCCTGCACCGAATCGAGGCCGCACACTCGTTAGATGATGAGACCCCCAGTTCACGAGGAACGGGTGTAAATATTTCATTTCTAGCCTCCACTTCCTCACTTTCTCAAGAAGGAACTCATTCGTTCACTCAAAGACGAACCACGTGACATCAACCTAAGCTGCCAGTGAGAAATGACTTGTAGAAATGAAATAGTTATAAACCACATTGATTATTAATAGGAAAAGTAGTAGAAAAACGCCTCAATGTGCAACTCTTAAATAAGCAGCCTTAACAAATTCACCTGTTCGGCGGTCGAACCACGTTTCGACCGTCCTGTAATATTCACCTTTTCTGTACTCAGTCGCGGACGTGATGTACTACCTCTCTTTTCCGGTCGTGTTTTCTCTAGCTGTGCGCCTTCTGCCACTGCATACTTAGAACTTGACTCTCAACAGAAGTGTCAGCTCTACTTCACTTTTGTTAATAGAAAGTAAATCTGTACGACTTCTCTAGTGTTAGTGACGACTGTACAGCAGGTTCCACCGCCCGATAGAAAATTTACAGTAAAAAGTTTGTTGTACCAAATTGTTCACCAGCAGAATGGATGCATTTACACTTGAGAAGGAAATCCGATAAGTAGGTAGAAATGACTCAGTCCTAATATTAGTAAGTAGTAGTAGTGGAGCACCTAAGTCTAGCAACTAAGTAGAGAGGTATCTATTAGTTTGTTGTTTGAGGTAGGTTTTTGGTGTTCGCTTCCCCCGTTTGTTATGCCTCTCTCCCGTAAGAGCGGCAAAACAAGCAGCGCATGAACGCCTTTAACCTACCCTTAATGTTGTTATAGTTCCCTCTTAGCAGTCTCTGCTGGAGGTTTCACGCCTTCTTCGACCCTTCCTAGGAAGACTTTATCCAGCAAAGTCGGATACGAGACCCAGGCATGTGCTTTCATATACAACTCGGTTTAGAGGTACCAACATCACATCTTTGAGAAATTTAAATCTTCTAGGATGGTGTGAGAGATGGTGTGAGAGAATCTGGTGCTAAAAGATGGTGTGAGAGATGAGTTCCCGTTACCCGTAATCGGTGCCGTCTTTGCCAGCACACTGCAAGATATTCCCTTTTCCTCCTGGATGTGTCGCCAAGGGATTAGAGGCTTGCGGGGGGTCAAATATCGTGCTAGACTACGCAAACGATTAAGCGCCACGGCTGGGAAAGACCTACTGAGTGTATGTAGCAACCATGATGGGCACTATCCGATGTAAGTACCCCAGGAGGGCCGTTTGTGTGATTTTAGTGCCTGGCCGTCGTGCTTCAGGCTTCCCGCTGGGTAATTAAATGGAACTATAGCGGGAAATTGTAGACACAGGTAACAAAAAAAAGAACAAAGCTAAGCCCTATGAATCAAACACAGGAAACGCTAGATCAGTGGGGGGGCCTCTTCTGAATCTAATTGATCACGCGCGTGATGCACGGGTGAACTCACCGCGCGAAAAGCGGAGCCACAAAGTCAAATAGATCCATGCTAGAATGTAAGGATATATCGCCATAATGTAAGCAGTGCAATCGTAGACGCAGCCTCCAAGGACCATCCACAAGTCTTTACGCGTGTTATGACGTACAATTTCCGACCAAGGGATGCGCCTATCGCTGTTCTCATGATTCTGGTGAAATACCGGTTTGGGTGGCGGCTTTTTCTGTAGTGCTTTGGTTAGAAGAAGAAATCAAGAGAATTTTGGAAGACATGGCAGTGGAGGAGGGACTCGTGGTTGTTAAAAATATCCTAAGCAAACTCGTTACTTGTCGTTATTTAGAACCAGATGAAGATGAAGCAGTCACTCACCCATTCGAACCACGTAGCGACTCAGAGCTGCCTGGTTCCGTAGCGACCCGATTTCCGTAGAAGTAAAAGTGAGCCACTTGTTAAACAAGATGAACACGAAGTAGATCATCGTTGCTCAGTACCAATTCGGTCAAATTCTCCGAGGTGTAACTAAACTGCCAGTGTGTGTCTACTCTAGCACAAAAAACAAAAAACAACATAGTCATAATCTCAATTTTTCTCTTGGAGACAACTCCTCCGACCCTGGTTCATCAGACTTTATCATCAAATCATGTATGTTGAAGGCCTCTCCTTCACCCAGTGGCTCTTTTCCCTGAGCAGAGTTATTTGCCCCTTGTGATGAAGAGTTCCATTCGGAGAGACGTTGTTGGTGGTCTTAGAAGTCGAAGTTTCATTCTAAGCCTAGGAGGTCTCGGAGCATTCACAGAGTAAGCAGGGGATGAAAACGACGAACATATTGTTTGTGTTGAGACAATTACACCACTAAAGGTGTGAGCAGATGATGCTCCATTTTGTTTCATACTCGTAGTCCTCATGTGTCGTGTGATTGCTCCTTGTTGTAGTCCTAGCTTCACTACCTAAGTAAGTCATAATATCCAGCTGACAGGGTTCGCTTCTGCAGTCTCCGAGACCAGTTTTCGTCATCAGTTGACGACTCAGCGTCGACATCACCACACACCGCACAGACTTTAGCTCTTATCCCCTGCAAACAAGCAGAGAACGCCGAATCAGACCTTGTTGTGGAGGACATGATTCTGAAGTGTCTTTGCTTGCTTCTTCACCTGACCAGGAGGATTTTGCGATGTGTACATGGAGATGCACCGCACATCTACTACGTATGGAAATAGTTACATGTTTCTGCAGGTACCGTACATGTAGATGTTCATTCATTCATTCATTTACCTGTTCTGGAGGTATCTTTTGACGCTTGAGCGACAAATGAAAATAGAAGTAGCGTCAGTTAGGTTTCTGATTCGTAACAGAAAGAAAGGCTAGGGCTATGCACTTTTTTTTGACAAAGTGAGGTGGTCCTCGTCGGCTCTCTGGTGTACCCCACGAGGATCCTCCTCCGCAGGGCTCAGCGCGGCCACGACAAGGACACGCAACATACACGTTTTCCTGGAAAGGCTTCATTTTGACAGAAAGAACAGGTTTGCTTGATACAAAAGGAATCATTTGAAAGGAATCACTTGTTCTCTTTTCATGGCAGTTCTCATAGCATGCAATGAAGATTCTTCTTGACCCATGCGGGAAGAATGAATCTAAAGTGGAAGTTGTCAATGAATGTAGCACACTTCCCCAGTTACTCCCTATTTCTTCCTCCTATAGCTTTTCCCCGAATTAGGTGCGGTAACAGGCTCAGGCGGAGGCTTGCTGCGACCAAAGGGTAGCATGCCTCCCCAACCTCCCCCACCTGCGGAACCACCTCCACCGCCAGCTCCTGAAGTGAGAGCAGGTGGAGGAGCCGCCTTGGAGGACTGGATGCGGCCAGGTGTAGGGTTTGAGGGTTTAAACACCCGTTGCTTCGTGATAGGCACCACGGCATTCTCCTCTGCGCCTGTCGTAGTCGCTTCTCCCGGCTTTGTGGAGGTCGCTGCGAGAGTGGGATCCTGTGGGGATTCAGGTAACAATTGGATGATCGGACAAAAATAAGTGTAGTTTTCACCTAATGATCAAGTGGTCCATTTTTCGTCCGTGCAACTATGTTGTACAAGTGCTGTTGTTCTTGTCGATCTACCAGGAGTTGAAATCTACTATGTATAAGTAACTAACCGAGGACTTGTCTGGACTTTCACTGTTGAGATTCAACTCCTGAAAGAGACCATCTTCAGCGGTTGGTGCGACTTTCCCCTTGAATTTTCCTCGTCTTTGCACGTGGGAGCCGCGTTGAGGTCTTGCATTAGAGGTGGTAGCCAAGGATCTTGGCTAGAAGGATGGTCTTACATTCTAGTTGTAGTGACTATGGATGTAAGTTTGATATAAGTGGTAGCCACTTTGGATGTGAGTAGTAGAAGTGACTACGGATCATGTAAAGCCCCAGAAGCTCCGCTCTTCAAACATGCATTTCTTGTTCCTCAAACAACATTCACATTAGCCTTAATCAACACTCGAAAATTATCGGCTTTCAAGCTCAGCTCCTTGTGCTCCTCTTCTACCGTATTTTGATACACCACGACATCTACTAGCCACCGCTCTTTGTCTGCGACGTATTTTATCAGCTTGCCTTTTAAGCCATTGTATTCCACTTTGGTGAGGTTTTTTAGCACTACTTCAGCGTTTTCAAATGGGGCGTAGCCCTCTGGAGGCTCCCATTGCTCGGCTAGAGGTTAGAGATAGAGGAGAAACTAAATGATAATAATTCAACTTACGATGACAAGGAAAGTAATAACTATACCTACCTAGACACACCTCGGGAATAAACAAGGTGAACACACCGTTAAATAATCAACACTATCGTCACAGCATTCGTGAAAATCAGAATCTGTCACATAATCATCATCGCTGTCTGGTGGGCCGGCAATGTATGCTCGGACTTTCTGCCCAGCCTTGTAGCACCCAAACCCACAGAGCAGAAGAGGCGATGCAAGAATCATGCCACACTTCTTGGCTTTCGTAATCACTGGGTCTTCTTCGTCACGGTCTGCGTAGCCAGCTTGCCTCTTCGATATCCACATCACTATCGCGATCACAACGCCGGCGCGGGGAATGAAAGTAGGTCCAAGTAATAGGTCATCCATATTGTAGTGGAGCAAGAACAACAAGTAAAATTCCTCATTTGTCATGACCACCAGTCTAAAAAGTGAGTGCAACGACATCTATCGGACCCTACTGACCATCACGTTACTTGATAAAAATCCCGCTAAAAACACCAAATCCAAGAGTAGATACCGATCAAGGTCTCAACTAAAAAAATGAATCCGATAAAAGGGTCCCACCATAACTAACACGCACAGCAACGCAACGAAAAGTCCGCTGTTTGTGAATTCTGATTCTTCTGCCGCTTCTGTGTCTACTGGTTGTTCGCGTACTGACACCTCGTTCGGAATTTCAACCCACATATGCTCTGGCCAGTTCGGAACCAGATATTGTCCAGCAAAATAATAGGCCGTGGCCACGAGTTTACGCTTGTCGCTCCTCATAGCATTCCCAGCATCTTGGAGTTGCTTTTTGCACGTGTCGCATCTCGCTTTTACGTACGCGTAGACGTACTCGCCAGCGGGTAGATGCGTATGCACATCGGGAGTCGTGGATCTTGTGTTAGAGTCTCCCATTGTGTTTCTACTCTCAACGTAAAATAAATCGGTGTACGATCAAATACTTCAAAACCTAGCAGGAGGTCTAGAGTCAATGCTTACTATGACATCAAATGACCAACTGCTCATACTCAAACTCGGACAAGAAAATCTGTATCATTAGCCATAACAGTCGGCGTACTCGCACCTGATGACGGGTCTGGAGGCACGTTGCAGATATAATTCATGCACGTGCCGCGACAGCCAGCATCTCGCGCTGCCTCTAGATCCGTTCCCTTTCCCGTGCACACCGACACAAGCCCAAACATCTGAGCCGCGTATTGGCATGAGACCAATGGATCCCCCATAATGCTGTGAAAGGCCGTGTCATCGTCGTCACAGGTCAAGATGGTTAAATCCCGGCTTGTTGAAGATGCTTCATTTGGAGTGGTTGATGCTTGATTTGAGCCAGTTTCAGCTGTTTTTGTCAAAAACCGACTACGTCTAGAAGTCGTTACTCGCTTACTCGAGGAGGCAAAAAAAGTTTTCAACAAAAACCTCTTCCATTTAGAAAGCCAAGGCTTCTTGCTTTTCTCCACTTCCGCAGCCACGCGAGCACGATGTCTCTGTGGGTCATGGTAGGGTAAACCGCTGTTTTTCAATGGATCCAAGTGCTGGGTTGTGGATTCTTCTTCTACATCTTCCAGGCCTCCATGACGTCTAGATGTGAGAGAAGTAGCAGATGCGAGAAGGCCATTTGTTTGAAGCCAATTCTTTGCTGGTTCCGGAATTATCGCTGTGACGTCTACAAGTCGCCGAATAAAGGAGCCTATTCTTGCTCCAACTGTTTTTGTAGTACTAGCATCTAACCGCTCCGCACTACCTCCGGCTCCCTTGTGGTTTTTATCAGACGACGACACTGAAAAGCCGAAATTTCTTTCCGCCTCCAAGGCTTCCTCTATTTTTTGTTTTTGATCATTTTCTTCAGATTCCTCCTCCAACTCCATCGTCCGTCTCCTAAAGAACGGCCGCAAAGTTGGACTTGTCGAGACAACTATGTCATCCAACTTCGGAATCCACTCTTGCAGGAAAGGTGAGTAGCTGTACATCTCCAGTTGCACTAGTTTTTTGAATGTGGTCTCCCAAGTATCATCGTACATGCTCTGCTGCCAGTTCCTGAGCATAAAGGCGACCCCAATCTGTGCCAATTTGCCTCTGTCATCCGTGAAATCGATCAGACCTTCTGGGGATTAGAGGCGCTAGGTATCTACAGCTGGAGATAGAACTCTTCTACAGCTGAAAATAAACCCTGCTTCTTGGTAACGTTGTTCAAACAAACAATATCGCAAGCACCCGTATTTTCAGAACGTGAATTCTTCTGCAGTCAAAAGACAGCAAGACACATTCTCGCTCAACAAAGGAACCTTTTACACATCCTTCCATAATCAGTGGTGGGCACCGTTCTTGGGAGATAGGGCATGTAATTTTGCACTATGGAACATGCTTAAAGCTCAGCATTCATTAGTCACTGACTCTGAACGGAAACGGCCCCCTTGAAGGCTCTCGCCTTTCCCTTCGTTTTCCCCCCATCTTTCCTCAAGGGGTCGCCTCTTCGATCTCAGTGACCAACCCCAATGACCATTGAAAGTTGAGCCTTAATAACATCCTGGCAACGGCCGCACAAAACCGTCAGCTGGCAAAACCACTTGTGCTGGATCCACCGAGTTCAGCGTACCAACATGCATAAACGCACTATTCGTCAGACAACCACCGGTGTGTTAGAACGCGCCACATAACTAGTACTTGATGAGTAAAAAATGATGCTTATTCTACTTGAGTAAAAAATTCTACTTGAGTAAAAAAACCCCTCATTTCTAGCCATTGTGGTGATGCTCCTGTCACACCCTGAGCATTGGGCCATACTCCAAGCATCCGATTAATCAATCCATGATTTCTCCTTCACAACAAGGAATGCGGTGTGTATAGTTGTACTGCCAGTGCAGAAACCCCTCATTTCTAGCCATAATTGCAATGGCAAATCTTGTAGGTGCCGCAGCCGTCAATGCGTATGCCATCCCAACCATTGTAGAAAATTCCAGCATTCTGTCGAGAAAGAGGTGTGAAAGAGAGAGAAGTCTTGGTATGAGTATTAGTATGATGAAAACGGTTATGTGCATAATAATCCGAAGCACGACGAACTATTGCTATTCCCAGTCACTAGCAAACAAATAGAAAGAATACCACAGGATTCTTGTTATCGTCGAGGCCCACTAAGAAGGGCGCCGGTGGTTCTCCACACCCCATGTTCGTGGATTCGTACTTTAGAATTCGAATTTTCGCGGTTTCCCCACCCGTCGCTGATGATAGACCGACACCGGAGATTTGTAGTCGAAAAATAGTCCCAGCCGGAAAAGAGACAGTGATTAGAGGAGAAGAGTTTTGGGATTTTGAACTTTGGACAACTTACTAGATGAGTCGAGCAGGATATTGTTGTTCTGCGCCAAAGCAATGTCCGTCTGCAGCAAACATCAACAAAGATAGATCCATCACACTCCACCATCATAAATTCAGACCCAAATCAGTGTTGAGCATTTCTCTGCCGACAAAGAAAGCTGGCTTGGCTTGGACACCACTGCTCGTACTGGGAAAGGCGTATTGCCGATGCGTACTATAGTGGTCACCACAACTGCAGTGACAGTCGAAACCTGGTGGTTGAAAGTTTATTTGGAGCCGCTTTATATACATTTGCAATTTTGTTCCTTGAGCCAAATGGCTCGTTATCAGGGCTGTCCTTATGCATGTTCGTGTAAATGAAGGAATGAATGTACCCACTCCAGGGGTATAGAAGACTACTTCACTACTACTTCTTGTAGAAATGTAATGGTCGCCACAACTTTGATGGTCACCACTGCTTACACTGTAATGGTCACCACAACTGTACATTCATCTTCATCATATCTAGCAAATTTCTATTTCATTACCTCGCTTCACCATTTCGTTACAGCTCTTTCCTTCTTTGATAATGAATTCCCAGCACTGTTTCATCGCCGACCCTGTCTCCTTTCCGGGAATTTCGTCTCGCCCACACCGCAATTCGCATTCTTGTGACTGCCCTGCGCGACCACGAGGATTAGAGGAAAATTCTCCTAGACGCTTTCTGGACATCCTAGAAGCTTTCTGGACATCCTAGAAGCTTCCTGGACACTCCTCTATTTCAATCTATCCGGTTAAGTGCCTCTAAGGTTTCCCTGACTTATCCTTCTTGTTCTTCCTTTTAGACAAAAACCTAAAAACTTTGTTTTGCCTTAAAAGTAACCGGGCAGTACTTTCGGACTTGTGCGTTGTTGCACGAGTGTACTGTTTTGCACAGGCTACAACTATGTCCGCACCCAAGGCTGCTTGGAATAACCGCATGATGATCTTCGCATCCGAAAAATGAAGCAGGGTACGGGTCGGGCAGTGCTAGTAAAATGTAGTGGACGAAGCGATCAAGCAGGAAAGGCTACTACTGCCAATGTTGAAGGTGATTCAGTCCAGTAAAGAGATTGCTAGTGCTTGTTGATGCAAGAATACTTCCAGTAGAGAGACCGAATTAGAAAAGAAAACGAAAGAAAAACTAATTCTAAGTACAAGTAGTTCTTGTCTAAAGGCCATAACCTCAAACAGGCGAAATCGGTTTCGCTGTTCGGAAAGCAATTCGGCACCCACTTACAGGGAAAATCTTCATTCAAACATGCGTCTCCGCAAGTAAATTAGAAGCAAGAGTGTGTTCGTGGTCAAACTAGGTAGAAGAAACGGTAGTTCTTAAATCGCCATTATCAAATTCCACAACGGACCGGGTATGGTGGTGCAGGTGGAGGTCACAAATTCTAGATTCATTTAGAACTCGAACATCATCAAAGTCCTTGTTCCACGAGACCTCGCGCCCTGTTTTCAAATCACAATGCCAAAGCAAAGCCATTCTTAATTAAATGGCGGAAAGTTCGCATTGCACACTCGTTCGCAGTGAGCGGAGAAAGCCATATCCCCTACCGTCGCGTCCACGTTGCATAGAAAGGGCTTCGTTGGATCATAGCAGAGTTTGTGCTGTTGTTCGCAGACGAAGCCAACCGGACAGAAGTCGGGAGATTAGAAGGGTTATAAGGCTTTCTCTTTTCAACTCAGAAGTTTTCTCAACTAAGATTCATTCACTGCATGGGGAAACCGACTTGTTCTCATTTGATAAGTGAACAGGCCAACGCCTAAACCACTAAGCCAACTGCGCAGTTGGCTTAGTGGTTTAGGCGTTGGCCTGTTCACTTATCATCATTCACAAAGAAAGAATCGCACGAGGAACTCCGATTTCTTCATAATTGTTCAAACAGCGTTGGCAGGCCTGTTGGGAATGTTGCTCAATCCCGGGACAGTAGGAAAACGGAACGGAAACCGCCAACATAGCTCGAAACGCGACCAAAGGCACGAAGCGAAAAAACCGCAACGAAAAAAACGAGGAGAGTCGACTACTTCTACGGGCTCTCCTGTCGCAACTGAGAAGGCGAAGAAGAGCAGGAGGTGTAAGCGACTTTACTATGGTTGTACCCAGGAGCTTTTCTGGTGTTCTTGAAGCTTCGCGTATATTCTTGAAGGGTGCATTCTTTTGCGATGAAGGATCGGTTTGGACACTACTGCAGGAGGGTGCATCCCTTTGCAGCGCTGATTCTACTAACGAGGGTCCAGAAACCGCCAGCCATCTTCGCCCACACGAAGACCGTGCTGCAGCGTACGGATGCACCACAGAGCAGCTGGCGCCACGTCCACCAGGAGAGGCATGACGCGCTACGGATGTAGTAAAGTGACGTTCTGGTGGTGATGAATGGTGCGCTACGGGCGTAGCGCCTGGTGAAGTCGAAGGCATTTTTTGATCGTCTAATACAACAATTATGAAAGGAGCTCAAGCTGCATCTATCAAGCCGAAATATCAGATCAGAAATGTGTAGCACACATGCAAGAACAAGGTTTCAATGTCTATTTGGAGAAATCATAAAGTGGGAATCCTGTGTTTGCATTTCATGTTTTCACAAACGCTTCTCCCAGTTTGCATGTATGCTCTCAAGTCCACCAAAGTCTACGTGCACGCATCGCCAAGCCAATTATATACTAGTGCTCTTGCAGTTGACAAAATTTTTTCAAGTCAAATATACAGCTCGTTTCACTTGCGTAACACAGTCGCATTTTGGTACAACGTTTTCTATCTCGGAATCTCTCGAGGATAGAGAGGAGTTCTGGCAAGCTCTCAATAAGTACACCGTCTCATCGCTCAGAACAAAGGGCCTTTCACTCGGGAGATCCGGTCACTCGGTAGACCTTTTCACTCGGGATGTCTTCTCACTTGGGACTGGGAGGTCTTGTCCCTCTTCCAATAAATTCACATGTGTCTGCCTGGCTAGAGAAGAAGCACCGACACCAAAGCTCCTGACCGATCTCCTTGAGGACCCGAGAGATCCTACTGAAAACGCCGACTCTAATCCACAACTGCAAGAGGCCAGAAGAGAAGTAGCGTGAAAGACAGAGAGAAATGCTGGAGACCGCGGCTTCAAGCGTCCACAAGCACGACCTCTATTTTCTGAAGATGATTCACGTCTTTGATGTGATTTGAGGGGGTTCGTTTAGGGTCCATTCTGATCTACGGGATTCTTGTGCTCTACGGCTGTGCATTGGCGATGCTGTACAAGGTAGTTTTTCAGTGCTCCTGGAGTACTTAACCTCTAGCTCTAGATTGATACGAAACTATATTTTCCTTCAGAGGAAGACTACGGATTCTTTTTTACTAGGTAGAAATACGTGATGCAATAATATTATTCTCTTCCGGGCTATGCGTTGGGGAATAAATGGTTATGTGTAAGAAGTATCGTATCTGTAGTGATGATCCAAGTTGCGGTAACAGCCAAAAGATAAATTTATAAATATTCAAGTTTTGTATGTGCTATGTTTGTTGGAAAAGTCATGACTTCTGTGCATATTTCGTATTCGTTGCCTGTACAGTAATAAATAAGATTTGCGTCACTATGCATGCATCGACATGGATCTGAGATGAGGAATACAAAAGAAATTTCAGGACGTACATGATGTTTTCCAATTTACATCAGTCTATTTATATGATTTTCTCGCAAGTTCAGAACTGTTTTTTTAATGAAAACTCCCTACCTTTCACCACTACACTAGTAGATGTAGTCGTACAACAGATAGCGCATCATGATGCATAACAATCCACATCGCCATGCTTCTCCCTAGCAGACCGAGGCAGTAAAAAACACGTGACAAACACGTGACGCTGCTCGCCTTGCCACGTGCTCATGAACACAACACTTCAAGCATCCACCGATAAAAAGGCCCTCTCCACACCAGACCTGAAAGCAACAGCTAACGCCCTCTCCCTCCCAAACCTACAATTGATAGGAGTGTGTGATCATTTTGCGTTGCTTCCTGTGGTGTTCAGTACGTGAATTTTGTTCCTCGACCAATGCGGAAGTAAAAGTATTGTTAGCGAAGACACAAGCTAGCGTCATAACCAGAACTACCTTCCTAGGTAACTCCCAACTCCGGTACTAAGCATAGGCAGCTGCTTCACATGATCGCATACGAGATATGTACTCGAATAACAGACTGAGTCCCGCCATAGTTAGCTCAGCGAAAGAAGGTATAGGCAACTCCTGTTGTACTAAAGCCCCAAAAGCCGCGAACCTGAAAAGGAAAGAGATGAATAGAGAAGATGAGTGAGTATATTTTACTTTGTGTAGAGGGAAAGAGAATAAAAAGACAAATTTACAATGAGAGAGAGTAAATAAGCATACGTGTTGGGCAGAATGATAATGGATAGATCAACAACGTGAAACGGCTCAAGGATCTCAGTCAAGAGGTCCGCCAAGATCGTGAACCAAATGGCTACAGGATCAGAATCACACCAATAGGAAGATCAACAAGATCACACCAAGGGGATCACCATCAGGATGATCACCATAGGAATGGAATACTATCGGGATCGAGAACATCAGCACCGAGATCCCTAGCGTGGCAAGTAGTTTGATACTCATTGACATGAACAAGCACACTTTGAAACTGCATGAGAATCATCAAACTGAATGGACTTGCTCCAACCTTCGCAGGTATAGTGAAGGGGATACTGTTTCCAACTTGACTCCCCTGCGGGTCTAGTTTTCTAGGTTTTCAGTGTTCTAACATTCTATACCTTAGAGGCCATTAGCTTCAGGGAAAACATAAAATTTTTTTTTTATAGCCTCACCAGTTTGCATTTGCATAGCCTGAATAATTAAATTCTTCACCGTTCTTTTGTAGATGCAAAATGGGCGCCGAAGATAAGAACACTACTCGCCTCGAGGAATTCTCGGGCAGTAGCAAAGACTTGCCTCGCTTCGGAGATTGGCTCTACAAGGTCTATTCTCTGCTGGAAGAAGCAAGCATGGATGTCCACCTCTGGAAAAGAAGAAGAAAGCTGAGGAGGTACTTGCACTAGATGCAGTACAGGCCGCGGGTAAGCATCTAAAGAAAGTCAAGACTGTTGTTTTGAACGCTCTGCCGGGTGGCTCGCCGGCTTTGGCTGTGGCTAAAATGGCCTCTCCTCAGCACGTTCTTTCGGTCCTGGCTTCCTTGTGTCAAAAGTATGCAAGCCAAGAGACCAGTGCCCGCTTCTCCGGGTACAAGCAGATGATGGATCCTCAGCCTTCGGGTACGGATATCATCAGCTGGATCGAAGGAAAAGAGGTCGCTATGGCTGAAACTCTGCAGAATAAAATTGACGCTAAAGAGTTCCTGGCCGCGTGCGTCCTCATTGGTGCCGATAAGAAGTTCGACGTAGTATCGTCTTCCATGTTGGCACGCCAAGAGACGTCACCTGATGTCATCAAACCTGCTTTGCGCGAGTTCGCGGCTCTGCAGGACCTCAAAGGAGGTGACCACGAACAGGACGCTGCTGCACATGCAGTAGTAAGCCTGAAGAAACAAGCCCAATCCTTGAAGGATAAACTTGCCCACAAGGGTAAAGGAAAAGGAAAGGGCAAAGACCCGCACAAGAAGAAGGTGAAGAAGGATGAGAAGTGGTGCTCGCACTGCAACAAGTCCGGACATCTTGAATCTGGGTGCTGGGCAAAAGATCCGAGCAAAGCTCCCAAGAGCTTGCGGGACAAACTAAACAAGAAGAAAGCTGAGGGAAATTCAGTCATTGTCGGTGATGTTGACGCCGTTCAGGCCGGAGACCATCAAGAAGACGCTGACATGACTCCCAACGCTGAAGAACAGAGTGAAGATCCTACCAAGATTCAAGAGCTGAAGCGCGTTCTTGCTTGTTCTCCGGGTGACTTGGCTCACATGAAGTTCAAGTCTGAGGAGACCGAGAAGATGCGCACGAAGGTTCTGAAGGAGGTGGAGCTTTACAACAAAGAGAAGGAGGGTAAGAAGGTTACCTTCCTACTTCCCAACGAAGACGAAGAAGACAAATCTTCGATGGCGGATACTACAGGTGACGCCGAGATGTCTGTCCCTGCTGAACCTACTTTGTATTGTTCTTCTGTGACTGGTGCTGAGGTATTTTCCGCAGACGTACTAGGTAATGCGTCAAATTTTCAGCCTATTGGGCATGTGTTCAAAGGGCAACAGCAAACCAGAGCGACAGAACAAGAAAAAGAAGAACCAAGAGATTACTCGTCGGATTCCGAGTCGTATTTTCGGGCTTTGGATGAGTGCCAATCGGTCTCATGTGAGTCGGTAGAGGGCACCTTTGCGGGGGAAATCTTGTCCAAACAAAAAGACCTTGGCACAAGCCCAAGACAACAAAGATCATCGGTCTCACGTGAGTCGGTAAGGACAAGGTCGGACTTGTACACGGGTACAAGTTCAAGCAGTTCATCTTCGTCGGTCGCGGTAGTTTCGGTAAACAAAAGTAGGAGCTGGAAGAATAGCTTCGGGGCGCAAGCTAATCCTGCATTTGTAGGTGGGCAAGCGCGCACGACACTACGTCACAAGCAAGCCTTCAGGAATGCTGGCGCTAGTGCAAATAGCAAAGTAAGCAACCCTTCAGAGGGGGGCCGGCAGTCCAAGTGGATTGTTGACACAGGGGCATCCCATCACATGACGGGTGACAAATCTGCGCTCAAGGAGTTCACAGGTGTGACGCTTCCCCTGAGCACAGCTGATGGCCCTTGTAAAACAAAGGCCCGAGTTGGGTACTTTAAGGCTAATAGCCTGGGTTTGGTGATGGGGCTTTATCATCCTGATTTGCGTCAGCAGCTCATCTCTGTGGAAGAGCTAACGCAAGCGGGAGGCGAGCTTCGTTACGCAAAGAACTCACGGACTGTCTATGATCCTTCGGGTGAAAGGCACCTCGCTGAGCTTCAGAACGGAGTGCCGATGGCACCTGTTTCATTTGAAACAGAAGCGTCAGCGCACAGTTCATTTATCTCAAGTGTGTCAAACCCACAAAACAGGCTAAGACTGCGTCAGAGACTAGCGCACTTCAACGTCTGGGGCCACGTGGTTCCTTGTCCGGATTGTGCTAAGGCTAAAACGTATGGCCAAGTGTCTCACAAGAAACAGCGTGATCCAAGTTACACTGTCGGGAACTGGCATGATCAGGCCGGTTGTGACTTCATGGGACCGCTGCCAGCGAGTCACTTAGGTAAAGAGTACGCCTTTGCCATGATAGACTCTCATACGGATTGGGTTGAAGTGTATGCCATAGCGCAAAAGTCTGACTGTGGTGCTGCTCTAAAGCAATACTGCCGCGAGATGGGCAGTAAACCCAAAAGGGTTCGCACTGATAATGAGCCTACACTGAAAGGGCCTGGTAGTAAATGGAAGCTGACATGTGCGGAATTGGATATCCATCACACACATTCAGTACCCTACGAACCTCAACAGAATGGCAAAGTCGAACGCTGGACGCGCACGATGGCAGATGCCATCCGGGCGAATATCCAAGGAGTAGACCCAGCCGTCTGGGACTGGTGCGCGCGCTACGTTGCGTACGTGTTTAACCGTCTACAG